TACATACTATTACTACATACTACTACTACATACTACATACTACATACTACATACTACATACTACATACTACATACTACATACTACTACTACTACTACTACTACTACTACTACTACTACTACTACATTGGTCCTCTGCATTTAGCGGGGCTGGGGCTTGAGAAATGCTTGAGAAATGCTCATGAGCATCCCGGAATGTTTCTTGGCCCTACCTCCAAACTCCTCTTTCCCGTTGCTACACATGGCCCCAAGCCAAAACCCAAGTTCCAGAACCCTAAACCCTAACCCTAAACCCTAAACCCCTAAACCGCTAAACCCAGAAGCCCGAAACCCCCAAAGGCCGAACCCCAAAACCCTGCACCTTAGAACCCTGATCCTCAAAACTCTTTTGCCTGGTGTAAACCTGAAAACTACCTCTGAAAGCAACCTCAAAGCCCGAAACCCTGAAGCCCTGAATCCCGCACCCTTTCATTCTTCATTTCCTGAGCTCCAGACTCTCAACTCTAAAGCCGTAATTCCACAAAACAAGAAGCCAGAAGCCCAAAAATCCTTGTTACACCCGCCGAAATCCTACAACCCGAAATCCCAAGTACCCTCCAGTAACCCCTGATAGCAACCCATAACCCTAAACCCTAAACCCTAAACCCTAAACCCTAAACCCTAAAACCATAAGCCCGAGGCCCGAAGACTCCTCAAACCCCGAACCCCAAAGACCTCACAAGGAGCCCTTAAAGGGGGACCCCATTGTAGAACTCTAGTTGAGGGTTTCGGGTCTATAGTACCCCTTAAAGGGGACCCTAGTGCAGAACTCTGGTTTAGGGTTTAGGATTTAGGGTTTAGGGTCTATAGTACCCCTTTTGGGGGACCCTCTTATAGAAGTCTACTCTGCCCTAAGGGGACCCTATTACAGAACCCTATACTACCCTTTAAGGAACCTGTAAAGGATCCCGAAAGGAGCCTTCAATCGACTCTTCGATCTTTTCTGTCCAAGGTGGACCGCATCTCGCTGCCGAGCCTTTGGCTCGAGCTATGGCCTCGGTGGGTTTAGGGTTTAGGGTTTAGGGTTTAGGGTTTAGGGTTTAGGGTTTAGGGTCAAGGGTCCTTGAAGGGATCCTTATCTTTCAATTTATTTGCTTTCGGAGCCGTTACAATCTAGGAGGGTTCTATGAGGGCTTTTTTAAAGGGATCTATAAGGATGAGCCACGGTCTCGGTGTGTTTACACGGATCTATAGAGGTTCTGTAGGGCCTTAGGGTTTACGGTTTAGGTTGGTTTTGTGGGAACCATTGCGGGTTACAGGGGGTTATGGGGGTTTTTGGGTTTGTACAAGGGATCTATGGGGGGTTCTGGGACTGGGTGTTTTGTGGAGTCTGAGGGTTTTGGGGTTGTTTTTGGTTGCGGCGATTGGTAAGTGTAAGGGTTTTTCGCTGTCCTTCTTCTGACGTGTTTCCAGAGGTCTAGCTCTCAGACGAGCCCGCAGTTCAATTGAGGGTGCCAGGGTCGGTGGACTTTACCAAGGGGGCCTGGGCTTAAGCAGAAAGAGCATTTTACGGTGTTCATAGGAGGTGTTTACAAAGTTCTTGTGGGCTGTATCGGATGGTTGAGAGAAGTGTCGTTGGTATGCTTTGGGTATCCAAGGTATGCTCTGTTTAAAATCCAAACGGTTTTGGATGGAAGCCTCTCTTGGAGGTCCTTCCAGAGTTTCCCGCCAGTTATCTCAAAAGCTCGAGCAAACCCTAGCTAGTATCCCCTGAAAGCTTAAAGCTTTACTAAGTTAACCCTTGAACCTTAAACTCCTAACCCTAAAACCCGAAACTGTAAAACCTCAGATCTTAACGTGCCCGAAGCCTCAATCCCCCAAATCTCGGCCCATAATTTGCAACATCATATCCCGCAAGACCCCAGTCTTATGATGAAGCCTCCTATCCTGACCCTAAACCCCAAACCAGCTACCTGAGGCGCTCTGTCTTGGCCCTCGTCGTGTACCTGAGGCGGACGTCCAAGTGAATCACTTCTCGGATCTCGGATCCAAGGGGTAAGAATACAGGGGCCCTGATACCTAGAAAGGAATTTTACGGGTCTATGAGGGTTTATAAAGGCTCTTAATTAGTGGTAGAGTAGGTAACCTTTCACTTTTCTGGAGTACTGTGATCCCTACATTTTCCCGAAGGTTACCTGGAGAAGCAAGCCGAATAATTTCAAAGGATTTGTTATAGGTTTCTAAGTCGTTGAGTAGAAGAGGGCTTTCTGTGTTGTTCGAAGAGTTTTATACAGGACTTTCTATAGCGGTTCTACATAGAGGGGCCTTGCATAGTGAGTTGGGTTCCTTGGTTTTGACAGGCAAGGGATTCGAAAATTGAGCTTGAGTTCCAAACGTCCTGGCAGAAGCCCTTGGGAGAAGGTGCCTTACAAATCCTTGAGAGAAGGTGCCTTAGCTTAATCTGATCATAAACTCCCAACTGCAAACAACATATCGCTGTAATTAGGGCCCATATATATATATATATATATATATAGCGCTGCACCATGTATATATATATATATATATATAGTATAAAGCCTAAGTACTATCGAATATATACCATAGGGGCATGAAGTGCGCAGGATTGAAGAAACCTGAAATTCGAAATTCGAAACACCGATGCCCAGGTCTCAAATGGAAACCGCTCCGAATACTATAGAATCTCGATAGGGTTTAGGGTTTAGGGTTTAGGGTGTAGAGGATGAAGGGATCGCAACAGCAACCCCCCAAAGACACTCCTACCCACCCTAGAGACCCGAAGCGCTTCCGGTCTGATTTCTGCCTGGACCAGGCATTCCTCGTCCTTCACGCAAAACACGGAGGTGACGCGTTCGGGGCCATGTAGGGTTCAAGGAATTCTTTCACGAGATGTCTTGGGAGTTGAATGTGAGTTTCGGGTTGAGATTGCAAAGACGTCCTTTGAGGGTTGCGTTATGGGATCGCCTCAGGGTTGGAAAGGGCGTAGGACTTTGGGTTTGGGTGTGGGGGAAGCCCTAAACCTAAGTAGTAGAGTAGGTAAGCCTTAGCCTTTCCGGGCTTTCGGACATTTTCACCGTTGACTACACGGAGAGGTCGGTTTAGGGTTTAGGGTTTAGGGTCTGTTACACGTGCGTGGCGCGATTCTACGAAGAAGTGGATTGTGTCTCGGATCACTACGGAACTGAAACCGCTCGAGATCGTCCAGGCTTACTTGCCAGTCCTCGTTGTTACTATGGGCATTCGTGGAGGAGGCCTTTGGTGGCCGAAGTTCCTTCGTGTCAGCCTCGGACCGAATGGTGCTAGAGTCTTCGGTACTGAGAGTCTTCGGTACTGACGGTCTCTACGACGATGATGATGGGTAATATCGGGGCCAAAATAGCTACCCCTGTTATTTTGGGGGTTCCTTATTGTACTTATAGTATAATGGGCCCCCCCAAAACCCTATTCTAATTATTACGGCCCCTACACTATCAGTTGTGCCGGCAGCTTCTTGATCGGTTCCCGAGGACGCAGGGGTTGATCGGTGAGATTTCTCAATACAGTATACTAGGTTGTTTTTTGGGACATTGTTTATTTTCCTTATTCGGCTTTATAAGGCACCCTTTATATAAGTATTTTTCAGAGGGTTTGAAGGCCAACCCAGAGTATTTGGTACCCACCACGTGCGAGAGCTGGTTGGCAGAGTGTGCGCGATTGGCAATGGGCAGGGAATGGGCTACGGTAGGTCGACGGCAAAGGCAATGATCTTCCCGGGGATTTCGATCAATCATATTTCCAAACTCCCAAAGGTTAATCTTGCTCTCTCCTAGGATACTGGACAAGTAAACTAAACCCTGAAGCGTAAACCGATAGTCACCCCAAAAGATGACGTTTCAGGAGGTGTTCATTTGTTTGTTTGGTGCTTGTAGACACTTCATCTAGTTTCCCAAAGAGCCCAAGACCCTCTTGAATTACGGAATAGACCTTTAAAACATGTTGAGGATCCTTCTTTCGTTTCAGGGTACATTCCTTGAATCACACTGTATTGCGCTATCCCTTTTTGGGTCCCGAAGATACTACGGCACGCAAGAAAACAAGGAGCCCAAAAGGGACCCCACAAGTAATATAGAGAAGTACCCTCATAGTGTCATAACAAATCATTATGCACCCTGATAAAAACCTGCGATCCCGCCCTAAAACCACAAACCCGCCGCACTGACAACAGCCATTCTTAAATCAACAATCCTTGTAGAACCCTACAAGCGTCCGGAAAAATCACCTAAGTCCTACAGCCTCAAACACCAGATCCCTGAACCCCAAACCCCTGAATCCTCAAACACCCTAAATGCTTAGACGCCTTCATTCCCTAAATCCTTAAAAGCTCCAAGCCCTCAATCCCTACAACCATCCTTAAAAGTCCCAAGCCCTCAAACCAGAAGAAGGCGCATTAAAAGCCAGGTGAAGATCCTTCGGGGTTCTGGCCAGGATAGGTGGTGCGCTGAGGCCTTGAACCCAAGGGTTTAGGGTGTATAGGGCTTATAGGGTTTATAAGGTTTAGGGTTTAAGGTCTAGGGTTTCGGGCGGCTCTTCTTTGCGGGCTCCTTCAATGAAGGTCTCCTCCTTTTCATCAGGGTTTAGGGTTTAGGGCTTATAGGGTTTAGGGCTTAGGGCGGCTCTTCTTCCAGGGCTCCTTCAAAGAAGGTCTCCTGCTTTTCATCAGGGTTTAGGGTTTAGGGCTTAGGGCGGCTCTTCTTCGAGGGCTCCTTCATATAAGGCTTCCTCCTTTAACGGGTTCCTTTTAGTAACGGCGCCTTGAAGAGCAGGCAACCTGTACGGGTTTCTATAAGAGCTCCTTCAAGGGATTCTGCTTAGGGTTTTGTTTAGGGTACCTCTGAAGCTTATGGGGTTCTCCTATTGCAGAAGGCCCCTACATTATAATTATAAACCCTGTAAGCTTTCAAGCCTATAGACCCATGAAGTCGTTTTGGGTTTCAGTAGCCTCGTCAGCTGCACACCTCGAGGGATTTGGGCGGTTCTTGGACAGGCGGGCGCCTTGGGGTGTCCTGCTCAAATTAAAAGCCCTAAACCCTAAATAGGACACCCTAAGGCATGAATTACGCCTTCAGTGAGCCTTTATAGACCTGGTGTTTCGCAACTAGCACCTTAAACCCCAAACGCCAAGCCCCAAGACCAACCCCTAAAGCCTAGACTCTGCAACCCTACCCCGCACTGAAGGGCTCCGGAATTCGAAAGTAAAACCGGAACCCCCAAGACCTGGCGCTTGATGACCTTCTGCCTAATTCTATGCGGGCATGGACCTTGGCTCCACACCGCTGGTAGTGGATGGGGAGCATGAAGGAAGTCATTTCGAAGTCTCAGTGCCTTGTTGGCATCTTCTGTGTGGGCTGCTGTCAGCACTGGTTGTGTTGGCGACCCGACTCGGCCGTTTGTCACTTATGTGAGTGGACGAGTTCTACGTACACGTGGGCGACCGGTCTCGATATATGGGGGTTTCCGAGAATAGGGGATATAGTGCCCTAAATAATAGGACCCTTATTATAAGGACCCCAAAATAAGGGCCCCTTATTTTCGGAAACTCCCATATGAGGCTGAGGACTGCTCTTCGCCGTGATGAACGTGGAGTGCGGGGTGGTCGGTTCTCACGTTCTTCTTCCCGGACGTCTCGGGGCTTAGGGTTTGGGGCTAACCCTAAACCCTAAACCCTAAGGGATGTATGGTTCAGCATTATAGGCCTTATTGTTACCCTGAAGCTCCGGTTTTGCGGCCTCGGATGCATGACTTTGACGCGAGGTCGAGGGTGTATATAGAGTGTAGGGTTGGTTTAGGGTTTAGGGTTTAGGGTTTAGGGTTTAGGGGGTTGGACACGAAGCCGCCAACTGTAGCATCGAATCCTAAACCCTTCAACCCCGGATGCTTTTTCTACGAAAACCCTCCAAGCTCTGTACCCCCTCAACCCTTTCAGCCGATTGAGAAGGACTCTCATAGAACCGCCAAGGGGCCCGAACATGAGGGGAACTCGAAAGGACGACAATGCCCGCCCTTCCCAAAAATCGCAGGGCAATCGAGCAGTTGCTGCCGGACGTGCTTGGCGCTCGATCTGCTAAGTCATGCATGTTGGTGTCGGTAAATACCAGAGTTAAGGTCTCAAAGGTTTGTTGTTTAGGGTTTAGGGTTTAGGTTTTAGGGTCTAGGGTCTAGGGTCTAGGGTCTAGGGTTTAGGGTTTAGGGTTTAGGGGTTTAGGGTTTAGAGTTTAGGGTAAAGGGTTTGAAGCTTAGGGTTTATTACCCTGAAGCCACAAACGGGCCGCCTCCTGTAGACAAAGCTACGGTGGTTTGAAGGTACTCCGTCTGGCATTCTTGGTGGTAGAGTAGGTAACCTTAAACTTTTTGGGGTTCTATAATAATCCTTGTAGAATCCAAAAGTTAATTTTTAGTTCCCCCAAGATACTGGACAAGTAAGCATTACGAGGCAGTGTGTTTTGGAAAACGCTTCTCAACACAAGACCTCAATTGAGGAATATTCCTTGGTTTAACCATAAGAGGGTTTAGGGTTTAGGGTGGGACCTAATGTATATTCCTTAATTAAGGGGTTTTGGAGTCTCTCGGAACCATTTTGCCGTAGCATGCCGTTTGGTTTTGGAACGTCGCCCTAAAGATGCTTGAAGCCTACCCCCATCCCCAACTACCCGAAGCCCTAAACCCAGGTCATTTGGGTCCGCGAGCTTTGAAGTTGATGGCTGTGTATCCCACCATCTTAGTAATAGTAATAGTAATCGTGGTAGTGGTAGTCATAGTACTAGTATAATGCAGGACCCATCGGACAGCGTATTTGTCATCGGCAGAGGTAGAATGCTATGGATATCCGCATCCTGAACCCTAAGCCCAAAACCCCGAACCCTACCTAAACCAGGAACCCTGAGCCCGAAACCCTGAACCCCGAGCCCTAAGCCCTAAGCCCTAAGCC